TGTTGTTTTGTTTTTAATTTTGTTTGTCTTTTGTTCTGTTTGTATTCCCCTTCCCTTTGGTTTGTTAGCCGCCCTGAGTCCCTCGGGAATAGGGCGGCATACAAGTTGAATAAACCTGAACCACTAAATGAACTGTTAAAAAGTCAAGGACTAGATGTATATATCACGAGCCCCTTTCTAATTTCATTTGACACCACCACAGAATTTTCCTTAGAAAGGTTATCGAAATATAAAAAGCAGAAGACATTTTATCCCAACTAACTACTCCCAAGTTCTTTCTTTTAATAATTCGCCAAGAACAAGGAAATATGAAATCTATGTTTACACAATTACCACCAGGGTAAATAATATTGTGATGACCTCATCAAAATATAGACTGTTAAAGAAAAATACAAACACAAATGGCAAATTTCCAGGGCTGTATTTGCCCCAGCTAGTATTTTAACAAAAATGTTGAGCAGCAACAATTTTCTTTTTTAAAAAAATAAAATAAATATCAAGGAAATACCAAGGAAAAAAAAAAGGGTGGGGGGAGGTGTTTCGTCACATTTCCTTTGGCTTCTGCCAGTGATTTACGCGACTGAGATAAATCACACAATCACCGAAGGCAGAAATGGGATGTGAAAAAGCAGTGTTTTGTATTGCACAAATAATTTACTATTTTCTGTGTCATAATATCTGAAACTATAGATAACTTGAATATCTGGCAGGAAAGAATCCTGCATGCCCATCTCGACTTCTCATTATTATAATATTATTATTATTATTTTTTACAGTAAATGTAACACGACAATTTCGCAAAAACGTACGAGTAGCCCATTTTGCCTGTCCTTCAGTTAAAACACATATTATGTAATGTTTAACATTTCTATCTACAGTACATAAGAAACTGGATTGAGGAAAATAATTTTGATATGCTCCACGTGTGCCATTGCCTTTTGCTCAGAAAAATTGGCGGGGCAGCGCTGAAATTCTCCGACTTTTTTAGTTTTATAGAAAACTTAACAACCCGAAGAAGAGTTCAGATCTCTCCAGAGTGAATACAAAGACACAGTGTATGTACAGTTTCTTTAGCAAGATCATTCATCCTGGAGAAATTACTATCGGCATTTAACATATATGTACAGTTTAAAAAAAAACAAAACCAACAAGATTTCCAAATGTCAGCTGGGGGAAAA